TGGCTCCAATGTGCATCACCTTGCACTTGGCCACATTGAACCCCATTTGCCATGTTGACGCCCACTCGCCCATCCTTGACAGATCCCCTTGGAGTGCCTCACAATCCTCACTGGTTTTCACCACCCTGAACAACTTTGTATCATCCGCAAATTTAGCCACTTCACTGCTTACTCCCATCTCCAAATCATTAATGAACAAGTTAAAAAGCAGTGGACCAAGTACTGATCCCTGTGGTACCCCACTGCTTACCACCCTCCACTGAGAAAATTGCCCACCTACACTCACTCTCTGTTTTCTATGAACTAGCCAGTTTTTGATCCATAAAAGGACTTGTCCTTCTATCCCATGATTTTTGAGCTTACTTAGGAGCCTTTGATGAGGAACTTTATCAAAAGCTTTCTGGAAGTCAAGGTAAATAATATCTATTGGATCCCCCTTGTCCACATGTTTGTTCACCCCCTCAAAGAACACTAACAGGTTAGTGAGACAAGATCTTCCCTTACAGAAACCGTGCTGAGTCTGCCTCAATAGGTTTTGTTCATCTATGTGCCTACTAATTCTTTCCTTAATAATGGTTTCCACCAATTTACCCGGTATCGACGTCAGACTGACTGGCCTGTAATTTCCCGGATCTCCTCTGGAACCCTTTTTAAAGATGGGAGTGACATTAGCTACCTTCCAATCCTCAGGAATGGAGGCAGATTTTAAGGAAAGATTACATATTTATGTCAGGAGATCCACAAGTTCACATTTGAGTTCTTTCAGAACTCTCGGATGTATGCCATCTGGGCCTGGTGATTGTTGTCTATCCGTTTTAGGATCTCCTCTCTCGTCACCTTAATCTGACTCAGGTCTTTCAACACCGCTCCCGAAATCAGCGGTTCTGGAGTGGGCAAGCACTTTTCATCTTCCACAGTGAAGACAGAGGCAAAAAATGCATTTAGTTTCTCAGCCATTTCCCTATCATCCTTCAGTACTCCTTTTACCCCTTGGTCATCCAAGGGCCCCACTGCCTCCCTGGCTGGTTTCCTGCTTCTAATATATTTGAAGAAAGTTTTATTGTTGGTTTTTACGTTTTTTGCTATATGTTCCTCATATTCCCTTTTTGCCTGCCTGACCACAGACTTGCATTTTATTTGCCATAGCCTGTGTTCCGTTTTATCAGCCTCACTGTGACTAGCTTTCCACTGCTTAAAGGTATCCTTTTTACCTTTTACAGCTTCCATTACTTTGTTTGTTAACCATGTAGGCTTTTTCCTATTCCTGTTTGTGCCTTTCCTAACCTGCGGAATATATATTTTTTGCGCTTCTAGGATCGTAGTTTTAAATAGTTTCCAAGCTTCCCCAATGGTTTTGACCCTTTCTACTTTTCCTTTCAGATTCCTCCCCACATGTCCTCTCATATCAGAGAAGTTACCCCTTTTAAAGTTAAAAGTGGTTGTGTGAGTCTTTTTGGCCAATTCCCTATTTATACAAATATTGAACTCAACAACATTATGATCACTGTTCCCAAGCGGTGCAATCACTTTTACATCTCTCACCAGGTCTTGACATGTTATTTTGTACTATCCCTTCTTAGTACTCAGACCAGAACATGTTTTAAACAAAGTGTAAGCTTATCCCCCATTACAAGATAAATTCTCAGCTTTCCTCACCTCATATTATCAACTTCTTGGAAATGTATAAGCATATTGTTGTAGGTCTTAGTGGGAAGGGAATTTAATAAATATGGGGCAGCCAATGAACATATCTCTGTGTCCTTGTAGTATAGATTTCTTACTTAATAGTTGTGGGTAGAGGCCAAACAATAAGAGGATGGCTGTTACTATCATGATCTGCGTACGAGCTTCAGTTAGAGCCTGGAGTACAGTGGGAAATCTTAATCTTGAGTCTGAAATGGGATGTAAGAAAAAAGGGTAAACACTGTTGAAATATTTTTGGTTGAGAGGGTTATCTTGAATTGTATCTGGAAAAACTGTAAGGAACCATTGCACATCTACTAAGTTGGTGTGAGATACTACAGCAACAGCATTTGTCACAAGGACAGTTACTGTTTCAAATATTTATTCCTAATGTTTCAGGTGTTCCTGTTTTCTGAGATTAGGTGGGTGGCAACCTGGGAGGGACCTGGGAGGAAGATACTACAATCAATTTGAAGGAATCATTAGCAGGACTTGGTGTTAGTTGTTTTTCATTCATTGTCACTCGATTAAAGAAATCTCAACTGAGTCAAAATTCCAGTCAACTAATTAATTGATTAAATGTGCATATGCATAAAATGAAGGTTTCTGGTGAAAAATGAGAGCTTTCTCTTATTTAAGTGTTCCTCTTTTGGTTTAGAGCCCTCTCCATTGCATAGAATTTAGTACATTTAATGTCTCTGTAGAACGGGAGGTTTGAGGGTAGTATTGTCACTGTTGTTTTTCCCGTCATAACTTGTGCATTCAGTGGTACACCACCTTGATACAGGAAGGCTAATAAAGAATGGAAGTAATCAGTTACACCTAAGGTCCTCTGTTTTGGCATCCTGTAAGTGATCAGTGTGTTGGGCTGTGAACTCATGAGGCCCACGTTCAAATCCCCACTCTGCCATAGGACCTTGCTTGGATGACTAGTCATACACACTTATCGTAACCTGTCTACAGGTATCTGAAAAAGTGTGCTTGCACACAAAAGCTTATACCTTGAATTAAACTTTGTTGGTATTAAAAGTGCCACTGGACTCAAACTTTGTTCTCCTGCTTCAGACCAACATGGGTACCCACCTGAATCTACCTATAGGGTTGTTATTAGGATAAAATGGGGATAAAATGGTGGACAGCAGAACAATGAAGCCTACTTTAGGTCACCATTGGAGACAAAGATGGTATGTGAATGAAGTAGATAAATAAGTAAATTCTGTTCCCAGCAATGACTAGTTACGAGTATTGCTAGAGAATTGCAAGTTGACAAGTATAATGAAAAACCTATGAGGCCTCGTTAGATTGATGGAGATGTATTGTCAAATAAAACTTGTTGGGGAAGAAGAAGAAGAAGAAGAAGAAGAAGAAGAAGAAGAAGAAGAAGAAGAAGAAGAAGAAGAAGAAGAAGAAGATCCCTTCCCCTCCCCACAACAGACACCCTGTGAGGTGGGTGGGGCTGAGAGAACTCTGACACAAACTGCTCTTTTTCAAGGACAGCTGTGCCAGAGCTTGTGACTGACCCAAGGTCACATCAGCAGGTGCAAGTGGAGGAGTGGGGAATCAAACTCGGTTCTCCCAGATTAGAGTACGCACACGGAGCTCTTGACAGAAACTGCTCTTTTTCAAGGACAGCTGTGCCAGAGCTTGTGACTGACCCAAGGTCACATCAGCAGGTGCAAGTGGAGGAGTGGGGAATCAAACCTGGTTCTCCCAGATTAGTGTCCGCACACTTAACCACTACACCAAACAGGAATGCTGACATAGAAATAAATTTGAGAAATAATACAGTGGTTAATATTATATCTGTTGAAAGTACAACAGGATTTGAGATAGCTGGGTTGTGCTTGATGGTCTCTAGATCTGATGTCCTATCAGGACTGATAGTCAAGAACAGAAAACATACACTTTCTTCTTGTACCAGTTTTCTGCTCAAAATTCAAACACCCAAGCTACCGTTATTTCCACAGGGGAAAACTTAAAAATACTTCAGTATCTTATTCCCATGCGGAATAGAAACAGCTTTTGGGACACATTTTAGCAGGGAAAAGGCACAAGAGGAAGTCCTTCCCAGCTGTTCTCCCTCAGCAGCTGCATTATATTAAAATACAAAGTCTGTGGAAAGAATATCAGAACTACACATAGCTTCATCTTGAATACCTTGATCTCTATCCAGTCACGCATTTTGGTGACTTAAGGTCTCTTAAATGTTCAGAAGAGAGGCTCACAACTTTTGTCAATTTACCACTCCTACTGCAGACTCCATATTGTTTCTGGTTGCTGACTTTAGAAGTGGGGGGGGGGGCTCTCTGTGGACTGCAGTGGATGTTGGAAAAGGCTGAAATTGCTATCCTACTTTTTTGAAAACGTAAATGCCCTTAAGTCTTTGTAAATTTTTGGTTAGGTACAGGCCCTTATGCTTTAAGCAATATGAGATTCTGTATATGTTATTTCTGCAGAGTTAGATTTCTTTATATCTGTTCATACCTAACAAGCCCTCTCCTGATATTGCAGTCATTAAATAATAAATATGCATGTTTGAACCAAGTCTCAGACTGAGACCAATGCATAATAGTAAGTCTTCCGCTTTGGAACAACATACTTTTGCTTTTTGGTGCTCAGCTTTGGTTTCTGAAGTTATTTTAGTATCAAAATTCCTTGTTTCTAAAGCTTGTTCTAATCTCAGGCCCTTAGAGGAAACTATCTGTTTTAAAGATCCCAAAGATCCTATTGATATGGCATGCGTTAGATTGGATGGATGGCTTCCCCTTCCCATCTTTGCAAGTCTCCTCTTTCTAACATCCAAGGTAATATACACCTGGTTTAAGTTAGTCTGCAGAACACAAATTAGTTTACTCTTCTGTAACTATATTGATAAGGGGTTGGATCAGTAGGTCTGCTTGCATGAAGGAAAGACTCTTGTTTTCATTCAGTGCGAGGTCTGGTGTTTCTGTGAATATCCAGCTCCATCTGCATTTCTCCACACTATATCCACAATGTTCCTGAAGGCTCCCTGGCTCTCAGGAACAACTTTTGGGGAGATGAAGAGGAAGCAGAAGATTGCTGTTTCAGAAATGGAATCTGAGCACACAGTTTTCTGGATCATGCCCATAGTGTTTTCAGTAGGCTCATGTGTTAAAGTCAAAACACATCATTTCCCTCCTCATCTATGTAATTTAATATGGTGTCATTTAATATCACAAATATTTAAAACAAAAACAATTATACTTCTTGCAAAGTCAGTAAGTGTGCAGGAATGTTAATGCTGTAAAACCTGCTACATTGTTACTTACAGTTTTCCCTTAATTTTCAATTTACAGGTCTCACTCGAGACCTCATCAGCGTTCCTATAGCCGAAGTAGCGAAAGGACCAGTCACCGAAGAACTCGAAGCAGATCTCGTGATAAAGAAAGACGTAAAGGCAGAGATAAAGAGAAAGCAAGAGAGAAGGACCGGATCCGAGGAAAAGAGAAGGACCAACATTACACCAAGATAGGGTGAGTAACAAAGAAAATTTAGCTTAAATAAACAAGAAGCTTTTTTTGATATCAAAGTATTGTTTTTATGTCCCGCGGTTTCTTGAACTGTTTGATTACAATGTTTTGATTACAATGATTAAGCAGCTATATTCGATTCAAGTAGCACGTTAAGAGACAACAAGATTTTTTTAGATATAAGCTTTCAAGAGTAAACGCTCCCTTTGTCAGATCTCTGACAAACGGAGCTTAGACTCTCGAAAGCGTATACCCCCAAAATCTTGTTGGTCTCTAAGATACTACTGGACTCAAATCTAGCTGTTCTACTGCAGACCAGCATAGTTGCCCTCTGGAACGATGATTAAGCAGTGACTGCAGGTGGAGATTCATCAACAGAATGAGCTTACAGAATAGATCTCTTCCCCTTCCTCTTGCAGCTGCCTGCAGCCCATAAAAGCTGCCCCTGCGTGTCAAGGGCCCCTTAGAAACAGACTGGGATGTAGTGCGGAAAGTCCAGGCAAGAGAGAGGAATCTGCAGGAATCAACCATTCCATGCTGCCATGCTTCTTCAGTGTATGCATTGCTGAGATCAATCTCTGCCTCTTGGGCATGTGACTAAAATCACCTTTTCCATCAAACTCAGGATCTGGCAAGCACTATCTTAAGGTTGTTTGCAGAAAGAATCCCTTGTTCCCCAGCTAGGCCACTTGCAGAACAATAAGGAGGCACGCTAGACTGAAGAATAGGTAGGAGTGAGTTGCTCAACCTGATTGAATTATAGTCACAGAGGTACACTGGGTAGCTTACTTGACATAAATAAGCCCAGAAGAGTGAAGCCTGGCACAATAGAAAGTTCAGTGAAAAACTGACCCAGCCGTAAATGGAAGACTTTGAAACTATAGCATGAGGCATTTTTGTTCAGTCAGGGCACCTTTATGCAGGGTTTTCTTGCCAGAGGCCTCCTTAACAAAACAACCCCAGTAAGTTCACTCCCCGAAATTGATACCTCTCATTTTGATGGGATGATTATGTGTGCCTCTCCTTAATATGGAAAGTTTTCCAGTGTAGATCCTCCTCCGTGCCCCAAAGCTTTCCTCCTTCCTTAATGTTGAACAGTTTGCAGGGTCTGAGAATGGCTTGAATCCAGTGGAGCCCATGGAATATGACTCCAAGTGGATGCTACCAAGCGGAGGTGAGATATGAGTTGAGGACTTCCTAAATCACAGATCTCTCCGTTAGCCAGTATGTGACATTAGTTTTGCAAGTGTCAGAAGTAAATTTGGACAAAATAATTATGTATTGGTCACGAAAAGTTGAATCTAAACTAATTCCTACTAAACAAGTGTGAGTTCTCATATGTAAACGTTGCTGATTATATGAAGATGTCATTTCATTGCCCTTGGTTTTGGCTCTTCCAGTACTTGTGTCTCCAGCATTTGCTGGAGTGGTACTTGTGTCTCCAGCATTTGCTTAAACAATTTAAAAAAAAGTGTTTAGAAAGCTTTTCTTCAAGCTTTGTTATGTCTGCTCTGTATGGTTTGACAAGTGTCTGTCCAAGGATGTCAGAGATGCTGGTAATGTGACTGAAAAGGATAAGATAAGCACTGTAATATGAAGTGAATTGCAGACAGATTGTTGTTTTCCAGGAATATAGACTTTGAAGTGAAATTCTGTAGCCAAGTTTGGACAGCAGTTGTATAATTTAAACACAGATTTGCAGCAGTATAAAAAGTGTCCAACAGATACTAGTAACAAGAATTTATCTAAATATTTTGTTATTGTGAAGTTAGTGTTTCTCTGGCTCCATTGTCTATTTGCACCAAGAACAATCACTAACAATGTATGCCATGTTAAGTTTTATCACATACATCTAAGAATAATTGTAAATATTATTAATATAAGTTTATGAAACATGAATAATTATGTGTCAATTTTATGTGTGAAGGCAATTCATTTAATACTCTTAAGAACAACTTGTTTTTTTGCTTTAATGTAAACTGACTAGTTCAAAAGTTTCTGTAGTTTCTGTAAATTAAAAATTATTTAAATGAAAGTGGTTAAGAGCTTGTTAAAGGTAAGATAATTCTCCTTCACTGTGAAATGTTGGTGGCGCTCCTGAAGTGACACGTTCAGTTATTGAGGCAGTCAGTTGCCTGGCACTACAATTTGTAGTGTAGCTATGATGCTAGGTCTGAGAGTATAATTGAAACCTAACCATGATGATTTTTTGAAGCAAATAGTGTTTCTTTGCATGGCCCACATTTCACCAGATGTTTTTACTTTGGGGGGGGGGGAGAAAGAGCACTTTAATAGATCTTTTGTGTGCCATTTATGAAGTGGAGCCTTTACTCAAACAAAACTCATCTACAAGTGTTCTGGCAAAGACTGTTCTGAGCCAGGCACATCATTCTTATTTGCATGTAGTTTCAAACTTACACTTAGCTAACCGTTGTACAGGGTTACTGCTGGCACTGATAACTGCTTAAATGCATAGATTGGAATTTGGATAATTTGTTTTTACCTGGAATCTCTTGCTTTAGATTTTTCTTTTCTCTCATTAGTTATCTGTTTGCATCCAATTTTTCTCTGTGGTTCTCTGCAAGGCCTGGTCTTTGTATTTTCTTTGTGTATTTATTTAGAAAATTTGTAGGTTGCCTCTTCAGACATGCTTGGGGTGGCTGTTGTAAAGCAATATATGGGTCATGTTACATCACTAAAAATTGCTGGCTTGTCCCTTGCAAGACCATTTTGAAACTAGCCTCCAGAGATATATTTCACAGGGAACTAGACATACTCCACTAGGCCTCCCCTGCCATCAAGCACTGTCTCTGCCTTGTAGCCCCACATTCTAGAAGCTTTGCTGCCGGTTTTTCTCTTTAATGACAATGGATTAAGGGAAGAAGCCGCTGAGAAGTAATCTGTGGCAAATGATATGAAAGGGGTGAGATTAAAGCCTGGTGCACAGGAACAGCCCCAAACATCCACTCAATATGTGAGGAGAGGAGGAGTGAGCTCACTGGCCTTGGCCCCTGCTTCCTCGCTGTCACCTGGTTGTGTGCAGGGGCAGCTGTGTGGAGGGAAGCAGGTGCATGAATTCTCTCTCCCCGTGACCAGTGGTGCTGGTTTTGGGACATTGCTGATTGTGGGGGGCAAGAGTTTGCATGGTCATATCCTCTGCACAAGTCGCTTCTGCAAATGTCCAGGCGATCTTGTGGAGGCAGGGGTGGGGCCGGCACACTCACTCCTACTCTCCCTTCCCTACATGTTCAGTGAATGCCTGGGGCTGTCCTGTTCACCAGGCTCCTATGTATTACTGCCTGTATCTGCATAGGTGTACCATTATTTTCTGTTCACTGTAATACTTGTTACCTTTTAAACATTTATAGCACTTCATAACACTAGTGTTCTCTCTCTCTCCCTCTCTCTCTCATATACTGTTTACTATATGTAGGTCTTTGAAAATGAGTATTTTTTACTTTTTAGAAACACTTCAAATATTAACAGGCTACTAAATGGGATTGGCACAGGATGTTCTTGATGTAATTTATCCCTTCTCTACTTTTTAAACTGGAATAGAGTTTTCATTTAATCAGACGATGATCAAAGAATATCTACATAGGGGATATGGATCTGAGAAACGTTCGTCGCTACAGCTATTTGTCATTTTGAAGATTTAGGTTGCTATCAGCAACATGTTATTTAGTGCCTGGTTTCCATCCCCATTTGGGTACAAAAGGAACACAGTACAAAGGTATTTTTGTGGTAAGATCTGTAGACAGTGATTCCAAATTCTATTATTGGGCCTTAGTTACTGTGAGACATGTACTTGTTTGAGGATTAGCAGAATATAACAGATTATTATTATTTTAGATCTGTGCTTTTAAGTCATCATTTTGTACACTCTTCTTGAGACAGTTACGAGCAGGGCCCAAAACAAAATGTTGCACCATTAGGCATAGGTCTTGGCAAGCTACTCATCCAGCTGCTTACCCTATTGGGTTAGTGGATATAAACTATAGCACAACCAGTCCAGAAACAGGAATACAGCATGGAAGAGGGGTATACTTGAGAGTTCCCCCAAATATGTAGAAACCTCCTCCTTTTATTGTGTGGCCTCATTTTGCTGTCTGTTTGGGTGGCATGGAACTATACACTTTGTTGCTGTTAGAGTGAACAAGTGGAGACCCGCAAGAAACTTGCAGAATGGTTATCCTGTTCCTCACACCTTTGCTTCCTCCTGTCTCCCTCTACCTCTCTCACCCTCTTTCTCCCTTCTGCCCCCCCTTTCTTTTTCTCCTCCAGCTATGGCATTATACTGATCTGTAGTTCCTTCCCTCCTCCAATCCCACCCTCCCCAGGCTCCACCCCACAAATGTCCAGGAATTTCCCAACCTGGAGTTGGCAACACAATTTCCTTCCCACCCAACAGCCAACCTACCTTTATCTGCCTCTCTGTCTGCAACTTTCCATCTCCACACCCCTCCCCCGCAGCCTCTACCTAGGAAAATTACTGTTTTTCTCCACAGTGGGGACCAAAACAGCTTACATTATTCTCTCCTACTTTTAATCTGCACAACAACCCAGCTTTCATAGGGTGGCTGCTGATGAACAGTAGCAAGCAGCTGGGCCTACTTGAGTCATGCAAATCAGGTGGTATCAAGTCACCCAGAGGGTGCTGCCGAGGGATGCCAGCCTCCAGGTGGGACCTGGGGATCCCCTGTAATTCCTGCTCATTTCCAGACTACAGAGATAACTTCCCATGGAGAAAATGGATGCTTTGGAGGGTGGACTCTGTGACATTGTACCCCACTGAGGTCCCTGTCCTCCCCAGGCTCCTCCCGCAAATCTCCAGGAGTTTCCCAGCCTGGACCTGGCAACCTTATCCAGAATCCCCTGTCGGTGGCCGGGGGGGACCTGGCAACCCTAAAGTGCTGGCAGGCAATGTTCCCTCTAAGCTGTGGAGTCTTGTGAGCAAAAATTCTACTTTGTGAGCTACTGGCATTAAAGTTGTGAGCGAGCGA